CAGTTAAACTCATATCTTTTCTTTCCTTCATCCTACTTATAACTGAATTTAGAATGTCTCAGATTCCTTCTCTTATCAATATTATGGTAAGCATATTCACCTTTTTGCAAGCATTATTTATCTGTTTACTTTCACGTGTATTCATTTATTTATTTTTGTATACAGAGAGTAAAGCCAGGGATACCTAACCACTGAACCACATCCCCAAATATTTTTATTTTTTGATTGGCCCAGGGTCTTGCTCATTTGCTGATGCAGGGTTTGAACTCTAGATCCTCCTGCCTCTGCCTCCCTAACTGCTGGGATTACAGGCATGTGCCAAGGAATAATAGTGTTATTAAAAAAATGGCATGGTACCTTCAGTGAAAATTTATGGAAGCCCTCATTTTCAGGGTCTTTTAAATGAAGGGTTAGCAAGAACATGGCCTGATAAATGCTTTGCCTCACCCTAATTCAGGCACTCAGGAGAGAAAACTAATTTTCATGAATTTGAAAAAAGACAGGTATCTGCTGATGGACAAACTTCTAGAAAATGATCCCTGCTTCAGAGGAAGAGACATTTGGTCTGCTCTCTTCTTGGGACAACATGTCAACATGAAGTACTTCCAATTGCTTGAAGCTGGTACAAAGAGGGATGGGGAAGTGTGTGGAGCTTGAATGACATGAACTACTAAACCAATGTGCTCCAGGTGGTCCCTGCCTCAGAACCTGCTGATGGACACACTTGAGGACCTGAGCCATTTTGATTCAGTCTCTGTTTCTGTCACATTGCCAATGAGGAGTAGGACTTCTTATACACCAGTTCCACAGACTAAGCACCAGAAGTTGGAAAAGGGATCAGCTGCTTCGATTTTGGACACTGTGTTTTCTAAGAGGGTGCTGCACTGGTAATAATGAGTGGTAGAGAAACTGGAAAACAAAGTTTTTATTTTTTTTCTGGTGTGGGGGATTAAAGCCAGAGTCTTGGGTATATGAGGCAAGCACACTACCACTAAATTATATACACAGCCCTTGGAAACAACATTTTTAAAAATTTATTTTTATATAATTATGAGTGCATAGTAAGTATGCAAAAAATTTGTTTAATTGTAGCAATTTCATGCATGCATATAAAGTACTCTAACTGAATCCACCCTACCTGTAACACTCTCTTGTTCCCCCTTATACTTTCCTCACCCCTTATCTTTCCTATTAGTCCATTTTCTACTTAATTGTCATTTTATATCATTCTCTATACTCCACATATGAAAGAAAACATCATATACTTGCTTTTATGAAACTTGTTTTGCTTAAACATGATGTTTTCCAGTTTCATATGTTTTCATACAAATCACATTTCCTTCCTTTTTATGGATAAATTAAACTCTACTATACACATATACTAACCACTTTTTTGAAGAATTTATCTGCTAATAGGCACCTAGGCAGATTTAATAATTTGGCTCTTGTGAACTATGCTGGGACAAACTTGGGTATGCAGCTGTCTCTTCTACCATGCTGACATTGATTCCTTCACGTGAACACAGAGAAGAGTGCTATAACTGAATCATGTGGTAGGTAGCACTACCTTTAGTTCCTGATGAAACTCCTTACCATTTCCCATAGTGATGGGGCTAATTGACATTCCCACCAAAAGCATATAAGGGAAAGGGACACATTCCATTTAGCTGAATCTCTCCTTTGTGTCAGGCAGGAGGCTCAGAATATAGACCTGTAGGACTTTCCTCCCCTAAAATCTCAGCCTGTCAATCTGTCTTTTCTTTCTGTCAATAGGGAAGCCCAGATTTGTAAAATCTGTGTCCTTCCCCAGTCCCCACTGTGTTTTCCCAGGGGACTTTGTAGCCTGCCTTTGGCTGTCAGTTTAGGGTGCTTTCACTTTCAGAATCCTCTAGAAAACATGCTGTGACCAACTCCACCCCAGAGTCTTCCTTGGTGTTCCAGTGCAAACCAGTGGGTGACAGAGGCCAGGCTAGGGGAGCAACAGCAGGGGAATTCATGACCTGACTCAGGTCCCATGGATTTCTTCCCTGGGGCACTGAATGCTGATTGGAAGGTAGGAATTCCCAGATCTAATCAGGCCTGGTAAAAGGTCTCTGGGAGTGCAGAAGCCCCAGAGTGGACCTGAGAGAGGCACAGCAATAGATCCTGGTCCTGTGATTCAGAAGTCAGCACAAGGCTAGCAGCACTGAGACCTGAGGGAGAGACTCTGTGGAAGGTGGCAGGTGAGGACTTCTCTGTGCAGGGGCTGAAATGGACCAAGGCAGGCAAGTTTAGAAACCCCAGGCCACCACTGGGAGAAGGAATGCCAAAGACTGAGATGAGAAAAGACAATCTAAAAAGTTAGTGTCATTGCTGTGTTTAGAAACAGCTTCTTGGGAGATCATGGGGGTCAATGGTGCAGCAGGATCTTGCTTAGGGCAAGTCCCAGAGAAGGGCAGCAGGGTTCCAAGAAGACAAAGGTGCTGCACAGCCTCCTGGATTCTCTGCTTGCCTCTTGCCTGCCCCTGGTTGGCTCTGGACCTCTCCATGATGGGTGTTCATGCTCCAACACCACTCCCACCTACTGGCCCTATATTCTCACCTCTCCTCTCTCCTCAGGGAGTCACAGAATAACTCTGTATTACCTTTCACTGTGCTTTTAAAATCTCCAGTATCCTGTTCACAACCAGTGCACCCTTTATTTATCTGAGGTTTCCCCCTAATTGATGGAGCTCTCGCTGTTTCCTGAGCATACTTGCAGTTGCTTAGAATCAGGATTCCAGGTGCTTTTCCTGCCAATCTTATGGTTTCAACAATAAATGAGAAAAGGAATTACAATTTACAGTGATGAGTCAGGGTGGGGAGGAGGCAGCTGTAGACTAGGATATCTGGTGCCTCTTGGTGCTGAGCCTAGGAGAGAGCAATGAGTGATTTGAGCCTAGTGACTGAGATTTGAAGGAGAACCTCTTAATTTGTATATCACTATTTTCCAAGGCTCAGAGGTAACTGGGTGATCAGGGTGGATAGAGGTGGAGGCTGTGATAGAGGAGAACTGCAGCAAACTACCAGGCCAGGCAGGTGGGATACCATCTACAAAACACGTTTTGAGCTTCTCCCAAGCACCACTGGAGATTTAAGGGAGAGCTCAAAGGATCAAGATACCACTTCTTGTTCTTATCAGAACATGGGGCGCCCATCTTCTGATACTTCCCAGCCCACTTGGTTTGCATTTTAGTGAGCAAGTGGATTGTACTTGGGATCTCATGGTCATGGAGGTCAGAGGCTTTTCAGTGGAGACATGTGGTTTGTACTAGGCACAGGATCACAGGGGCTAGAGAAGTGGAGTGGGTAGAATGATTTGGGAGGGTACTGAAGGCTTGCTTGGGCATGGATTTGGGGGGATCTTTGAGAAATGGGAAGTTGTCAAGGAGGTTTCCCAGGATCTAAGGCCCTCCTCGGGTGAGGGAGGGTCTCCCTGCATAGAGCTGCCCCATGGTGTTTAAACCCACTGTCTCTGGCTTCAAGTAGCACCTTCTTGCTCTTTCATTGACTACTCACTCTTCTTTCTTCAACCTGTCAACTTCTGTTCTACTCTGCATGCTTTTCTGCTCTTCCTTTACTTGACAGTTTGATGTTATATAGACACCAGCCCCTTCCTCACATGTCTAATCTACTCCCATGGCTTTCGCCGGTACTCAGTTTTCTGATTCACAAAAAAAATGAAAGCCAAGCAGAGACCACACACAGTGTCCTCAGCCCCATTTCATTGTGTTTCTTTGTCTTCTTTGCCCCCAGACCCTGCATCATGGATTCTCTTGCAAAAGCAAATGGCACCTTTGCCATCCAGGTTTTGAAGATGCTGTGTCAAGACCAACCTTCACAAAATGTGTTTTTTTCTCCCCTGAGCATCTCCTCTGCCTTGGCTATGGTCCTCCTGGGGGCAAAGGGGAACACCAAAGACCAGATGGCTCAGGTAAGCTCACCTGTCACTCAGGAGAGTCTGGTCTGCAAGGTTGTCTTTTTTCCCCTCCTTGAGTTTTCCAGAACTGTTGAGGTCGGAGGGGTGAGCCTGGACCATTTCAGGGAGAGGGTACAGAATGAAGGGAAGGAGAGAGGTGAGGTGTTTCCTCAAGTGAAATGTTGTGGTGGTTGCTTGCAGTGGTTACTGTGTAATCTCTTTTTCATTTATAACTTTTCTAGTGAGTATTGATAAATTTTTCTTACGATTGCTGATGTCAGTCTATGTTGGGTAGATATGTGTGCTTTCTTTGAAAAGATCAATTCTTGGACTCATGAGCATTTTGTGTTTTTCCCTAAATTCCTCAGTATTTTTTTCTCCTTTTTCTAACATTGTGTGTTGGGAGTTTTGTTATATCATTATTTCCTTTGGAACATTAAAATAATTAATGCTACTTAACTATTTTTTGATGAAATTACTTGATTTGGTAACAGAACATTCATATTATTTTCTAAATTATAAGTCATATATTTAAATATTATATTAAATATGAGAATCATTCTTTAGAAGAGGATAAACATTTTTAGTCTTTATTAAGAATCATCAAGGTGAGTGTGGAAACTCTCTTCAATTGCTGCTGCTGGCATGAAGGACTTACGGATGTCTCCCCAATAATAGCCACTCCAGAGTCCCCTTCTTCTGCTGCAGTCTTGCCAGGGAGAGGTCCTTCAAGTGATACCAAGATAAAAATGGACATAATTCTAAAGGCTGTGGGGTACCTCTATAATGAAAACAAATTTGGGTTGTAGAGAGAACCTGAATCATGCAAGGACTCATTGACTTCATCAAGAAGTTCCTTAAACTTGTGGCCTTAGAACAGTTGTTCACTTATGAGAACCAGTCCTTTGCTCCTCCCACAGATGAAGGATATTTGGGCAGTGATGTTAAACTGCTCCTAGATTACTGCAAGTCTCAGGCCTGGGCATGAGCCACAGAGGAAAAACAACTTGCTACTCAAAATCATGTTTCACACAAGAAACAGCTCCAAAAAGTTCTAATGATTGTTGTGACAAGAGACTTAACTGATACGATCTATGTGTCTACTATGACTCATGCTTATTCATAAGAAAACAACTGTGGAGTGAATAGACTAACAAAAATATGATTGTGTTAATACACAAATATTCTCAAAAGATTGCCATTACATTATGCCTGTTGCTCCTGCCTGTTACTACTGTTGTTTCAGATTTGCCTCTAAGGTTGAAAAGACTGAAACTACACAAACCTGTATTACCACTTTTGAAAATGATTCAAATTGGTTTCTTGTAGAATTGTCATTCTGCTAATTTCTTTCATGGTCAAAATTAATTTA